TGATAGATGAGGTTACCAGTGAATTCGTTTACATGCCGATTTGGAAGTTCGCACTCTATGATTGCTTTGAAATCAGAAATTTTCTCTAAAGTAGTCATCGATGAGGTGACGGGCAATGCCTGGAATACGATAACTGCTTTACACACTCGAGACCACGTTGATTTTCTACGTGACATGCGGCGCGGTCGGCCGGCCGGCGAGGCGCGCCCGAATGACATTGTCGTCACTTTCTAATGGGATTTAGATTTTCGTAGCCACCAGAGGAGGATTTTAGAAAAGTAAAAGATGGAATATTACTGAAGTGACTTCATTACGGGTATTAATAGTGGGAAAAACGTCAATGTTTTTCCAACAAACAACGAAGCAATCGACTATTAGCCTAAAATGATACTCCACATTGCTTAGAAATTTATACTCTACGATGCGACTGCACAATGTGATTCCTTATTCAGGAAGGTTTGTGTATATTTTTGCGGAAATTATCATAGATTGCCTGCGCAAATTGATACAAATTCATTGAGTATTGTATTGCTGCCAAAGGTAGATATTGTAGGACTCATGAGATAAGCAGACTAAGATTGAGAAAAATCAAATGTCTACCAAGTGCCAGATGTGTACTGGGGCGTGGACCCATTACTAGTAAGTCTTAGTGACCTCAGAATGGCGCGGCAGACAGTGATACGAAAACAGTTCGCATGTTACCCCCTTATTGAGGTCTCTTCAATAACATTCAATTGTTAAGTGAGGACAATATCCTCTGAAACCTAGATTTATCAAATGAATTTCATTACTTCCATTACGGCACGCCAATGAAAATGCGCCCGGCGACGCGACGCCGTGCGGCCTGACACAAGATGCGCCACATTGTTTTCAAGGAGTAAATCAAAAAGTCACAGCTAAGGACAGTAAACGAACTTGTTTGATTTTAAGATTCGTTTCTCCGTCAAGATTTGACGTCTCGATGTAGCACATGCTTTGCGGCTCGCTCGAGGCAAGCAGCATCATATCGGCGGGAAACAGCTGATCGTTATCCACCCGAACAACATCACCGACTCTGATCTGAAGCAAGTACATAGCAGTAAGAACCCTAACAAACTATCTCAATGAACGCCTTTTGCATAAAAATCTTGTACGAGATTGATATCTACTAGAAAAGATGGATAACATTTCAGCAATATCGCTCTTCTCAGAGCCACTAAAATGCTGAAAGATGAACTAAAAAGATTTCGCTAGAAAAACACCACTTATCATTTTTGTAGATACCAACCTATATCAAAAAGGACGCTTCGTTTGATACCTTCAATTTTTCATATTGAGGCTAGCCGGTTGACTTCCGCGGACCCAAACTGGATGTGTCCGCCAGCGCGGGGGCGACTCCACCCCTCTGCACCGACTACTCGCCGACCACACTACTACTGTTCGTCGCAGAACCGACGCGAGTTAGTCCAGAACAATTGCGAGTTTGGCAACGAAAACTGGTACTGTAGTCGGCGACTAATCGGGGCAGAAAAGATGGAGTCGTCCCCATTCTGCTGACACGCGCAGTTTGGGTCCGCGGAGGTCGACCGGCTAAGTGTAACTCAGTTTTCCGATCTACTGAAGATCAAACTATTTGAGCTACAAAACCTCTGCTGCATACCTCTCGCCATTCTCGGGGTGTCCATGAGTTATTTTCCAATAAAGTGGTGCTAAACGAGTTCACTTTATAATCGGCTCGTCTTCTTTTCTAAAATCAGAAAATTTATTGAGTTGAAAAACATGACACTGATCTCAAAAACAAAGGATAAAACTCACAATATCTTCAAAGATTTCCTTCAAAGCGGACACTGCTAGGATTAATACGAAAGGAACTGCTGTTGTGTAGCGACCCGTTGGACTAACATCAGGAATTTGCTGAAATTAACTTCATGACTACCACAGGAGACACAGTATGCAAAACATTTGAGAAATTGACAAATACAACTTACTTGGAGAACAGCTATTGTTAGAAAGAAAATATTATTATATCGACGAAATTGTTCGTATAGAAATCGTGGAAGAAACGTGAAAGCATTATATTTACAAGTGCTGAAGTCAGAGTTTTTAGAAAAAAAAGAGCGGATTAGTTACTAAAATCATTTGAAAAGATCACCCACCTAATTTCATTAGAACAAAACTTTATTTTACGATTAGTATCGTCACGTGGGATATGAATTCGACGAACAGTGGAATTATTTTGACTAATACTCATATCTGAAATGAATATTCAACAAAATATGGAACCTTTACCTTCCTGTCCTCATCGGAGTTGGCGAATAAATATTTGAAAAAGAAGTCACATCTAGTAGGTAGTTCCATATGTTTCGGCACTACACCAATGAAAGGATAAAGGATAAAACTCTCGGCGTTGATCAATCCCTGAGGGATGCGCCATGCATTCGACTTCAATTTTTAACTTCGTTTGAGGTGATTGAATGCATATCTGGCCTTTACTTTGACTCTCGGAGGCCTCGCGCTGAACCGAGTCAGTGCTGCTTATCCTCCCAGACAAGTCTGAGACCTGCCTGGTACCAATTTACCGACCCCGGAGGGATGGATGGCTTGGTGAGCCATGGGCGCGAGATCGAACCATTGACCTCGTGTGCGACGCAGGGCACCTCTAACCACTGGGCCACATGCGCTCCTTGCTACAGCAATAAACACCAAATTAATCAACCGGAAGTAATTATAATTGCATGGTTTTGGTACCGTTCAATTGCGCATTTTCTTGCGAACATTTTGCTATACAACTTGCCTATACTTGTTTTGAAACGGAGTTGTCTCGACAACAAAATCGCTTGCTACTCATGCACGAATGGCGCGTATGAGAAAATGCTGGTGAAGCGATGCGCATGATTAATGGAATTTCCTGTGGACGGCCCAAGCACAGCTGATCCTCCAGACTGTTCTCTCCAGCTTTGAACTTCGCGAACCACTTCCTAGACGTCCTTTCCGAAACCGTACCACCGTCGCCGGCTCTCTTAATCATGCGCGCCGCCTCACTGGCATTTCCCTTTACGCGACATTCGTGCATAATTAGCAAGAGAATTTGTTGCTACGATAGCTCCATTTTCGAGCAAGTATACGCAAATTGTATAGCAAATTGATCGCACGAAGGTGCACAATTGAACAATACCAAATTTATGCAATTTCAATTACCTCTGCTTAACACATTTAGTGTTTATTGCTCTAGTGCCGAAACATATGCATCGACCTTTCAAAAAAGTTACAATATCAGGGAGAAGTCAGCTGTTTCTTCTCGATCCCGTAAATTTTAAAGTAATCAATAGGTTTGTAACTAGAGGAAAATTCGAGTCGTTATTTGCACTTGGAATTTTTGAGGGAAACCAAAAGAATCTATATTGATTTTCGAAGGAATTGAGAAGAAATTCTCCAACAAGAGAAGAGAAAGAAAGAGCAAAAAGTCTACTTCCACCTTTGAAGAGCAGTGGAGAAAAAGCTATAATCAACATGTTAAGCAGAAAACTTTTGTTGATATTTCAAGCAGACCATAAGAAACTGTGGCAGATGATTCCTTTATCATTTTATTCAACCCGTATTACAGTTTTTTTTTATAATATGCGGGTCCGGCACTTCTAACATTCGCCTGATCTTCCTTTTGCTTGCATGAGGAATCATCTTCTTCACGTTCGTCGTAGAATAGTGACTGAGCACGTCTCGTTGCAATCTAGAGGATAGCCAGGCGGGAGTGTTTTATAGAGCGCTTGTTCCTGATTGCCGAAGATTGTCGGGGGCGGTGGGCTTTCAGTCCCGCGTCGAATCACTATCCACTTGGCCACAGTCGTCCATGTAGAGGAATAGTACTTGGATACTTAGACGGTTCGTCTTCACGAATTTGCGCAACACAACACATGAGAATGTACACGTTTACATGTTTTGTTCCTTGGAGTCTCATGAGATAAGTCTAACGGAGGATTCTTCCGATTGTCATCAGATTAGAGCAGTCGTCGACTCTTGTAGATCAAGGAAAGATTACCAAGTTGCGCCTAGTAGCTACCAAGACGACGGTCATTCCTGGTACGGTTTACTCTTAGCTGGGTTTTCCGAGTGCCAACGTCGGACTCCTCCTCAACTTGAGTAACCCTGCAGGGGGTTGACCCCTGCCGCACTTCACAGTCCAATATCCCGGAACACTCCTAGCAACAATGAGGCACTAAACCATTTGGGAGGTAGAAGAAAGTCTCAACCATTTATTCAAACAAAGAAGAGGAAGCTCGCTTGATAGCTACTGGTTTTCATTTACTTTCAGATTGAGCGGATATCCCCATCTGAAAGGTTTAGCATATCTCTCATTCCTGTCTTGCCTGGAACCCACCATTTACCCTTTGAGGACCAGTGTTGATAAGCACGCGGCGCCGCGCCGTCGCTTGCGCGGCAGTCAGATAAGAGGCAGCAGCCTATCTCTGCATGCTTGTCTAGCTGTCTGCGCATGCTTTCCCACAGGACACGACGTCGCTGTTACAGTAGCTCAGTGAGACTTGACGATGCGCAACACAGAACGAAACGTTCCGTTTGGTGCTTCAAGAGTTAACACAGCTCAACATACAAGTATATTGACAGTTAACAGCCAGTATAAAGACATCCTTAGGAACACTGTAAACCCAGCTTAAGTCTATTTTCTATACAACATGAGATTTCGGCTTCCTGAGCTTGTAAATATGAAAAAAAAACCAGTAACGAAAATCCAAGAAGAATCAATTTAACCAAGAGGAAAACCTCCGAGTAAAATGGAAAAAGAAGCTTGTGGAGTGAAAAAACTGTAAAAACCTATTTGAGGCGATTTAGTGATGGAAAGATACACAGTCACAACTGCCTAGAACCGCTAAGCCTAAGGAATAACGCTAAAAACTTACAGATAAAAAAATTCGCTTACAATTAAAAAAGTGTGAATTCTGAACAACATGGATGAAGTCTGATTTCCAAGCACTATATTCAAGAGTATTGAGTGGTAAAGAAAAACTCGGACCGAGCGAGAGTTGAACCGGCGCCTTTCATCTATACCAAAGCCTCGTGCTACACCACTACACCATCGATGCTATCGCTGTGCTACCACCGCTCCATTCTTATAATCTAAGGCGTGAACGACTTAGTACTGAGTTGGAAGCAAAATTATACAGTAAGAAGCAGTTCCAATAGGCCGTAGAACCCAAAAACTGGGTAACTAAACAAAAGTCCGTTTGGTTTTGCAAAACTCATCAGGGTGTGGGAAGAAAAAGAAGACGGTCTATAGAAGAGAAATGGAGATAAGGGCAGTTGTCCATTATGACGCGACATATGAAAAACCGATCTTATTAGCTGAAGAGGAACTTTCATAGCACTGTTAGTAAACATTCGAAAGCTGAGAGTTCAGGCTACAACCACATTTGGCCGGTTTTTGAAGAAGCCTCTTTTGACGCCGCTACAAAAGGAGATTTCTTGCGCTTCAGACGTGCGTATTTTTTCCGGACAGAGCTCTTTCATTAGTCTATCAGTAATCGTTCAACAGTGTAGTCGTTTCCCAACCAAAGAGCTCTGCCCAACAAGAAATATTCATGTCTGTAACGCGAGAAATTTTCTGTAGTAACGTCAAAAAAGCTTTTTGGAAAACCGGTGATGTGAGGCTGTAGCGTGAAGTCTCAGATTTCGAATGATTCCTAACTCTCCTATGATAAGTTCTTGTTCAGCGAATGAGATCGGTTTTCCATTTCTCGTCTCATAATGGACAAATACCAAAATAAGAAATGAAAAGGATAACGCTTTGGACGTTGATCAACGTGCTTGGGAAATGTGCTACGCATTGAATTCCATGCACAGTTGATTTGATCGCGGTAGCAAAAAAATACTAGGAATACTCGACCTTCCAGTTGTTACTGTGTGGAAACCACGACTTTCTTTAAGAGTCCGAACAATACGCTAATGAAACAACACGATCGTAGCGACAATAGACAACAACAACATCAACAACAACAATAAACAATGCTCGACTATCGAGTGAAATCACGGCTTCGTCACGTGCCAGCAGAACCAGTCGCAATACGAGCCAAACAATGACTCAGAAGGCAAATAATTGTGGGACAATTCGTCTCTCGCTTCGTTGGCAGTTGAAATCGAAAGCGACAGGCCACCGTTTACCGGTATTCTTACTCTATTTTCATTTTAATTCTCTTAGAAAATCGTAAATTCATGTAAACGAGTTTTTTAAAAAAGATTCTCCTCCTAACTAGAAAGGGCCCAAGTTTCTAGGATCTTCGCCAGTACTGATAGTTAACGAACGGCATGAGTACTGGGATAAGAGAGTAGGAAAACGACCGACTCAGAGGGAAGCAGCCGGAGGACTGAGGGACGTGCCCTTTTGATTGTTCCGGAGAACAACTAGTTAACCGTGGAGCGCACGGACGTGATTGGAGCGCAGAATGGATAAACTGATAAACACACTCCCGTGCTGTACGGATAACTGACTTCAAATTTTTTTGTAAACGTGATAAATGCAGTAAATCGAACACATATGTCCTCTAGCTAACAATGTCACAACATATCGCAGACGTTAGATAGGGCGAGGTGGCTCAGTGGCTGATGATTCAGTGTATGAGAAATTGAGGTGATGAGCGAAGCACTGGTTCGATCCTCTCCCCGACGCTGGCTTGCTCTCATTCACCGAATGCTTACGAAACGCCTCAACCGGACTGTGTCTATGAAAGAAAGTCGTCTTGACCAGCATTCATAATAAAGAAATTTTCAAGCAGCAGTCGAATTGGCACGTGAAATTTTCGAAGACTTTTGCGGAGGATGAACAACAAAACAAGGCAAATTCAAGAAGTGTTGGGATCCGTCCAGTGAATTGTGATGTCAGGGCGTGTAGAAAAAGAATTTCAAGTAGAGAAAGCTGGAAAAATAGTGGCAGCTGTATAGCCTGTGTCCGATTCATCGATGATATACATGTTATCGACCCAAAAAACCACTACAATAGCTGCAGCATATGACAAAAAAGGAATTCAGACTGTCCAGTAAACGCTTTCGGTACCGTAGACCCACGGCCTCTGCATCTCTAAGTGGCAACTCTGGGTGGTCTATTTCATCTCCTCTACGTCTCTGACTCCAGCGTGCCATTGCTAGACGCAGCACGCTGTGGGGTTGAAGATGAAGGGGAGATGGAGCAGACCGTCTGGAGTTATCAGTCAGAGATGCAGAAGCTGTGGGTCCATATCCTGAAGGGTAAGATGAAGTGGAGAGAGTCACAATGGGGAGATAGGGGCAAGATGTGAACCAGAGTGGACCATGTACTTCTCCAGAAATTTGAGCATCTAGAGAATTGTATAGTTATTTTTGTGGTGTCAGATTGACACACCTTCCGTATGCAAACAGAAATATCCACGTGGATCTGCACTAGCTAGATCCCATACCCTGCACTCCAAAAAATAGTAAATTAATCGACTTCTGATCCTGCAAGAGCGCTCATTACAGCAGCGTTTAGTAGGGTGGGCATGGAAAACCTTTCAAAGTCTTAGGGCCATTTTACTCTGCCTAAGTTTTGAGAGATTAGACGACGATACGCAATTATGACGTGCGCACACCGTCATCCTGATGCTCAATATTTGAGAATGTCTGTTCTCATCGCTAGTCTTAGGGGGCTAGCCAGTGGAAGGTGCTATAACGAAATAGATTTTCACCTGTCGTTCTGTTTATCGTCTAGTGGCCAAAGCCATGCACCAGTGCATTCTTCATTTAACCCTGCCGCGTGCAAGAGTAGCCACTGAATTCTCCTCACTATGGCAATTTCTTGGGCATCAAATTTCTCTTATAGGTTACTCATGAAGAATTCTGAGCATTGGACCAGTGGTCCTTCAGCTGTGGGTTTGACATCCCGAGGAATCCAGTTACTAAGAACTTTTATCTATCAGCTGCCGTTAAGACTCCTAAGGAGTTTACCCCACGTGATGTGCAGTAATTTGGCGTATAGAATGATGTATCCGATTTTTGCTCATCATTGAATCATCACTTGAACTTCGTTATCTATCTTTCGCTTTTGATACAGAATACGCTTTCCACTCTCATGTTGTCTCAATTCCACAATCCGATAAAGGAAGACCTAAGCGAAGACTATGAGCTGTATATCGGTGTACTTGAAACATGCGCCAAGCTATCATCAGTTCCGCAAAAAAAAAGTTCTGATTGCATGTTTACTACTTCCGAGGAGTTGCCCGGAAACAGAAAGGAACTGAGGCGTGATACTTCTGCAGTACACCTAATTAGGCTGATAATCAGTGTCAGTGTATGAGATCTTTGCAGGAGGATCTACATCGATACACGCACAAAAAGTTGTTAGAAGCAATGTCGTCGGATCTCTGTAAGTATTACGTTCTGCTGTTCGCGCTAATATATGATAGGTTCATTACTACATCGCTCCATAATATGGAATTAATAACAAGAAAATTTTATACCAATCTTTTCCCTTTCACAATCTCCGTCTCAGACTCCACAATCCCCACTGGTGAGAAATCACTCGAAATTCTAGCCTCTGAAGTTTGAGCTGGGGTTGATAACATGGAGAGTGGCAAAATTTCAGGAGCTGATAATATCACTGCCAATTTTCTCAGAGCTGGTGGCCACATTCCGCATGTACTTCTCGCGAACATGTGACATCATATCTCCAGAACAAAGTCGTGGACCAATGGAAGACATCGTGCATACTTGTTCTACTCCAGAAAAGTGACAGTAGGGATCTTCGTAAATACCGCTCGATTTGCTTGTTACGTGCTCTCTACAAGCTCTTCACGAAGATCATCCTTTCACGCATAGCGCAAATCATGAATGAGGCATAGCCAGTTGAACAAGCAGTACTCCATAAGGGATTCTACAAGGACCACAATCATAAGGTGTCAAGGGTCAATGAAGTCTGTCGGGAATACCGTAAAGCCTTGTTCTAATCTTTATCGACTATGAGAAAGCATTACACAGCATTAAAAGAATGCCAATTCTATCAGCAACGTAGATCAACGTGTAGACCAGTTCTATATACGAACATTAGCAGACTGCTACAGAAACAGCAGAACAAAAACGGTTCTTTCATCGACCCCTCACCATACTCATCGAAGAAGGGGTTGGACAAGGCGACACTATATCGCCCAAGCTATTCACCGCAGCACTACAGTGGATGATGAAATTGCTCGATTAAGACGAGAAAGGCACATATATTGATAGGAAATTTCCATCAAAACAATCGTACTGCGGACGATGTCTCCATCTTTTCCAAATGCGCCAGCGAAGCAAAGACAATGTTTAGTGAACTCAACGATGCAGGAAAAAAGATTGGGCAACGCTTGAATAGGATCAAAACACCATTCATGAAGAATCCATAGTGCGAAGGTTATCAGATCGGATCGGATGGTTTTTTGACTAAAGAGAGACCACCTCGGACGTTTAGCCTGTACGTTTAATGAACATGGAGAACAACACGAAATTGGAATTAGTCAGAAGAAATAGAACAGCATGGTCCGCATTCGGATCTTACAAAGAAGGTTTTGACCACATAGCGGACTTCAAACTCTGTGCTCACTTTGTCGAACCGACAGTCCTCTAGCGCTTTGTTATGCAGCAGATACGTGTGCTGATATTACAGCCGCGTTAAGAAGTCTGCGTGTCACTCATAGGGAGCTTTAGCGAAGTTTTTCAGAAGTCAACCGGCACTTACAACGTCCAGCCGGTTTGCGCAGTTCCGATCTACAAAATTTCTCTCTTCTTCATGATCCAGATATATACACATCGATAGTGAAACACATGGCCCGATCATATAATAAGAAGGTCAGATGACAGATGGGCGAAAACTTTAGTGAAGCGGACTTCAAGACAATGCAAATGCCCTCGTGGAAGACTACCCAAACGATGGGCAGACTGTTTGTGGCTAAGTCAGGCATCTACATCCTCAGATGACAAGTTTGGATTCAGAGAATGGGCCTTGCGCACGCCTTGTCACTATGCTCGAAGGAGACCACCACTATGGAGGACAGTTGTGCGAGAGAGAAACGAGTGAAAACTATGCTGGGCCCACATGTACAGTAAA